CAAAAAACAAAAAATCAAGGTAAAACAGTAAACCTGAATAGCTACGCAGTAATGGATAAATTTTCCATGGTATATGGATCAACTTTAAAAAAAAAGTGCTCAAAACATGAAAAATATATGCATATTGTATTAGACTAGCCCACATTTATGGGGGAAATTTTTTATTTTTTATCATTTTTTTCAACGGACCAACCCCTAGATTTGTAAAAAAAAACACTTTTTGAAAATCTTAGCTCATTTGGATGTAACACGAGCTGGCGCTTTTGATTTAAAATTTATATGGGGATATTGATTGAAATTTATGGAGAAATAATATTCCTTCACTCTTTCGCGCATAGAATTGGTTCAGCAAACTCGCTCAAACTCTCAGTGATTAAGCACAAAATTTCAGCACATGTAGCTTAAACCATAAGGAACAAGTTTGCCGAAGACAGCATCACGATTCAAGCTAGTATTACGGAGATATTAATTAATTATGTGCATTATGCTCGTATACTGCAACAAAATACAGGCTGCTTATGCAACGTATCAACTAGATTTCCACTAAAAAATACAAGTTCATATTTTCCACAGGCCAACATCCAGTTTCGTGTCAGTAGGTGAGATAAGCACTATCTGAATGTTTCAGCTCTTTTTGACGCTACACGGGCTGGTGTTTTGGGTTTAATGTTCATATAGGAGATTTGGTTGAAATTTTAATACACAAAATGCTCATGTACATTCAAATGCGTATATCTCAATAAGACTAACTGGATTCACGACGCAATCTTCAGGAAAGTTATTACTCATAAACTGAACTACAAGTTTTTAAAATCTGAATCAAAACGGGAATAAGGAAACTTTTTTATGATCGATAGCGTCTAGGAGTGTCATTTTGTCATGTATTTTATCAAAATTCCCCATACAAAGTTAAAATTAAAAGCACCAGCCAGGTCCCAACAAAGTCACTTTCAATCGAAAATCGTCAAGCGACGACGAAGGTGTCAACCATCACTTTCAATTGAAAGTCATTCTGTCTTCTCTTCGAGCAGATCCTCTTCAACATCAACAGAACCGCTTGCGATCAGTTTTCATGCTGTTTGTGTTGGCTTGATTCGTGTTCATTTAGTCTTTCATTGTCAAACGAACTTGCTTTCGCATTGAAGCGAAGCTATTCGATCCAAAGCAGTTTTTCTTACTTTTGTTTATGGTTCACTCGGGTCATTTAAGCACATGCGCATTGATCTGTGCACGTAGGCGTCAAATTCATCATCATAGGGTGGTTTGTTTACCTATAAATATGGGTATTTTTGGAATCGGAGTTACGTCTTGAGGCCGGAAATCGATGACCGACGCCATTTTGAAATCCAAGATGGTGGCATCATATTTCAGACAAAGTGGGAAATACTGACAGCAACCCGATCAATATTGGTATTTTTGGAATGGGAATGACGCCTAAAGATTGAAAATCGATTTGTGACGCAATTTTAAAATACGGCGGCTTGCAGTTAAAAAAATGAGGGAAATACTGTCAAATACTCATTAATATAGGTATTTTTCGAAACTGGATGACGCCTAGACTGAAAATCGATATCCGATGCTATTTTGAAATCCAAGATGGTTGCTTTCGATTTCAGATCTACGACGCGTCTCCGTTCCGAAAATACCCATATCTTAGGGTATTTGAAACCTTTTGTGAAACCCGATGGCCGCCATATTGTAATGGCGTTGGATATAGATTTTTGGCATCTTCAGAAAATGTCCATATTTTAGGGTATTTGACACTTTTTTCTTGATTCCGATGGCAGCCATCTTGGATTCCAAAATGGCGTCGAACATCGATTTTCGGCACCTCCGCGTCGTCACCGTTCCTAAAATACCAATATTGTAGAATATTTGAGACTTTCCTGAGCCCGATGGGCACCATCTTGGAGTCCAGAAAGGCCTCGTTAGTTTAATATTCGTTTAATATAAAATATAATTTTGTTACTACATATAATCCGGATGCCATGCCTATCGGCCACCGATATTGTGCGGATACTATCCGGTTACTATATGTTGATGCCTGACGACGCGACGTGTGACAAGTCAAATGAGCCCCGAATTGAAGTGAAAGCGGAAAAAACGAAGGAAGCAGTTTTCGAGTCATTCATTGCATCAATTGAAACAAGTTTTTGCTTCAAATGAAATGAAGCGATATTCGAGTCATGTTTGACAGGAGGAATGTTCATCGTGACTCGATTGAAAGAAACACAATGACTTACACGAAAATGATATTGTTCGAAATGAAGCGATTATGCGGAGTGTTCATTTTCTTTTCTTTGTTTCGAAAATGTAGAACCCTGGCGCCAGCTCCTCTTAGCACCAAATGTGCTGAAACTTTCGGTTAATGGTTTTCTCACCTAAAGGCACAAATCTAGGGGTTGGCCCGTGGAAAATAAGAACTTTTATTTTTGTGAGCCAGTCTGATAGTGTATGGATCATATCTAGGATAGGAGTACCAGTTATGGCTAGACGTTCCTTTTAATGGTGTGTTCCATAGGTCATAATTGGATAATAGGAATGTATAGCCATCTACCCTATATTTTAAGGTGCGCAAGTTTGATTTTCTACGGAGCAACTTCGTTAGTCTATGGTCCATTATTGAATATTTGATGGATCATATGCAATATGTTTATGATTATGACTATTTATGACCAGTGTTTTATGGATCATTTGGGTGTTTTCAAGGAGCGTTTTTCAATGGATCATTTTATTGATTTTAAAGGTGCATGCTTAGAACTGCCGATTTTGATGATTTGTGTATTCAAAAACCAAAAAATTAAGGCTCGCTCAATATACCTGTTACACATTGAATTTTGAATCAATTTGATAACAATAGGTTTAAATTTGATGGTGAGTAAATAGATTTGTCTCGGTTGCTCTAAACTACGAAAAAAAAATAATGATATATGTTAAGTGGTGATGGACAAACCAATATTCTTTTTGTTAATGTAAACTGCAGTATTATTTTTGTAAATGCCATTTAATCATTTCTGAACCGATTTTGATGAAATAACTTCAAATCTAGTTGGAATTGATTCTAGTTCTTGTATTTCTAAACAACAGTTTTAACCCCACGTATTTCTCAAATATGGTTGATACTCGGCCAGAATTATGATCTAATATTACAACATTAAAAACTTGAACCAATTCCTAACCTATTGAAAGCTGTGTTATATAAATCGGTCAAATCTATTTTGAATATTTTGACCCAAAATGATCATATTTTAATTATTTTAAATTGAAGAATGTTGATTGCACTAAATTTTCACGGAAAAATATGAAAACATATTGCGCCCTCTGTCTTCAAACCATGAAAACCATGAAAAACCAATATAATCAATGTTTTCATCATTATTATTTTGTTCTAAACCTTTTAATATATACCTATATATATATATATATATATATATATATATATTTTATATTTTAAATCGGTACAGTGATTCAAAAGTTAATAATGTTTTTAAAAAGTGATTTTTGAAAAAAAAAATGTTTTTTGTACCTCCCTTACATGGAAATGACTAATGACAAAATAACAGTTCAAATGTTTTGCGATAAAGAATAAAACTACCTATTCTTACGAAATTCTGAGAATCACTATATTGTTTTGCTATGGAATGGCTATATAAGAGTACTCAGTATTTTTTGCCAGTTTGAGATAGATTGATAAATGTGCACACGTGTATTTAGTCTCAACACTATAATTTGGATGCTACGATGAATTTTATAATTTTGTTTCTAATAAAATTACGCTATTCAAATAGCTACATTGGAGTACTTCATTTTGAAAAATGTGATGAATTTGTGATAGGTCACCATCCAGTTCGATTCATGACCCCAAAATATGAGCCTCGGCAAAAAATCGTAAATATTGATGATGGATTAGAGGTCGTGCAAATTATTTGAAGTTTAAAGTTTGCATCTCTCTTTTTAAAAATGTCTTTTTAAAAATGAAATATCTATGAATATTAAACAAGGAGTTATTTAGATGTTGAACACTATTTTGATTTTTTTAATGTATTGAAAAAAAAAATGCAGTGTGTATGTTTTCCTAGAAATACTTTATGTTTCTCTACAACTTTGTTTGAGACGTCATTTCGACTAGCAGTGACATTTTCATACTACGATTTATTGAAAAATGTCAAACATTCTAAACCTTTCACCCATCACTGTTAAAAATGAACTGAATCATTCCGTTCATTCATCTCCCCCTCTACAGTGAACGATGAAGCCTTCCATCAGGCGGTGGCGTACTCTTAAAACCATCGTAAACAACATAGCAGAGAAGTGCGATACACAAGTCAATAAGCAGAATAAAAATAAACAAGCAGCCAGCAATAGCTAGGTTATGGGGGAGAGAGAACCAACTCTCTGCCTTTGAATGAGCGTAGTGTAGGAAAATGAAAAATATGAATACAGATCCTCCGGCATCAATGCGGTCTGCGTTATGCTAGAGCAGTTTTTCGGCGCGATCTCAATGGTGAGGATGATGCATTCGTACTGTGGTAGTATGATACAAATTGATTGTCGACGATTTTTTTTATGGTCTATACCATATGTGTTCTACAATTAAGGCGGTGGCTTAAGTTCATGTTCGCCGGTTGTAAACGTTAATAACGCTGGTGGGTCGCCCCTCTGCAGAGATCTCTTGATTGCTATGGTATTTTTAAAGGCTTACACATTTCGGTAATGGCCTCAGTCCCGCAAGAAATTTCAACCATTCGATGAATCATGGCGACGGATGCTTTCGAGAAGGAATGGTGATCCCCTTTGGATTGGTCCAAGGCGTCGTCGTCGTTGTCGGATGGAATTTGGTGTTTTGTTTTCGGAACGCGACCAATCACCGCACGTGACTTGGCAGAACGAATTCCAAGCAGATGCTACATTTGCCACTAATCCAGAATTTATTTGCCGTTGATGTGCGTAAACCTTGGAAAAAGCTAATTTGTTTTCCCGTTCTTCCGTTTCTTTTGCAGTCTCATTTTACGGTGCTAGTCATATAGCGATGCCGCTGCAGGAAGCCAAAATATCCACAAACATTCGGTTGCGATTCCGATCGCGGCAAGACGATGCACTGCTGCTGCTGACGGCTGGACGAACGGATTACTCGCTGCTCAGCATCGATGGCGGACGGATTCGATTCAGCTTCAAGATTGATGAGTACCACACCGATGTATGGGTATTTGGGTGATAGCCGTTGATTGTCATTACAGAGGTTTGGTCTTAATTTTAGCTATGGTCACCGGTGACACTGAAGTTCAACGATCTACAGTGGCACGACATCTCGATATCGAGGTACGCAGCGAATTTAACCATGCAGATTGACGAGTACTTTGCAACCAAGACCTTACCGGATAATGTTGCGGAGTTGAACGTGCACTTTGGGGTGTTTATCGGTGGGGTTGGAGCGTACTCGGCCTCATACTTGGGGACGATGGACAACTTTAGAGGATGTATCGCTGATGTAAGCTGCGGCTAATGGTGGATTGTTCGGTAGTTTAATAAAAAGCTTTCGTCAATTTCAGATCTTCTACAACAACATCAACATCTTCAAGCGAGCCAGGGAACGCACCGGTCATGTGACGAACGAGCGGGTCTCGTGGATCTGTGCACCGGAGTTTGACGCGGACGTCAGCACGCCGATAAGTTTCCTGGACGACGAAAGCTACGTAATACTGCAGAAGGCACCGTCGCGATCCGGTGATCGCTGGAGTATGGAATTTCGAACGAACGAACCTTACGGAATGTTGCTGAGCAACATTCCCACGAGTGCGAGGTACGACTTCATGGCACTGGAGATCGTCGAGAGCCAGGTGCGGTTGCTGGTCGGAAAGGGATCGAATGCCGTGGAGTTGATACCGGACCGTAACGTGTCTGATGGCAAGTGGCACAACGTTTCCGTGACCTACACTCCGATGCTGGTGGATGTAAGTGTGTTGTGGGAGGGGGGGGGGGGGGGCAACATGGTTGGTTAATGTCATTAAATGCTGCTGAAAGCTTAAGACTGCCAGAAAAAGCAGGAACAGTTCGCTTTGGAAGAATACTGCAGAAATTTAGGGAAAGCTTTTGGAGAGCTTCAAAGGACTTTCTGGATAAATTGGGATTAATTTCAAACCTGGTCAACGATGTTCCACGGTATATTTTGGTTATTAAAAGGACAATTCCAACTAATTTTGCATGCATGTTCAAAAGAGGTTAACAAATGTTCTAAAGGATTTCCATAAAGTTTGCAGAGTAATTATTTGGAATTTGAGCTCTCGTAAGTAGTGTTAAGAAAATATTTTAAGATCAAATCTCATCAATGAACATGATCTCAAAAAATCAACAACAACCTGGAGCTGCATCAGAAGTTCCGGATTTTTTTTTTAATAATTCGTTTATTTTTCCAGGCTCATTTGTTGTAGCTTTGCGGAGCCATGCGAAGCCATGCGAAGAAGAAGAAGAAGAATAAAAGAGAAAAAAAGAAGAAGGAACTATGTAGATGTTCATCGAACATTCCATTAGTTCTGAAAATTCATGTCCAGGAGACAGAAAGTTTATATAAGCTATGGATAATTTATCCAAGAAGTTTGGGGAGCTTTTTGAAGTTCACAGCTCTTTTTCAAAGTTTGTGAAACTGCGCTTCGGATATGCTCAATGGATTCGAAAAAAGTTCAGGGAGCTTATTTTGAAATCAAGAAACTTTATGGAAGAACAAGAACCTACATAGAATTTTAGAGAACTTTGTTGATACACAAGGATTTTCGATAAGATTAAAAAAAACTCCTCTTGATATTTTTAAATACATTATTATTATTCTAAAGATCGACAATTTATCGAAAATTTATATATAGCTTCTCAGATGTTATTCCAATACGCCAGGTTGATTTAGACGTATTCGAAAGATCTCCAGTTGACAAAATAATTCTCGATATTTTCCCAAGACTATCAAGAACTCAAGGTATTGAAACATTTATATGTGGTCTCTTAAATATTCTCCAAAGTTGGCAGGTTGACCAGGGAGTACTGAAAATATTTCCAGCTGATCGAAGGATTTTTTCTGGATATCTTTTCAATTCTTCAGGTTGATCGTGTATTATTAAACTTTTGAAAAATTGAAACGATGGCACTCAGATATTCTCCCAAGATTTAGAAGTATTCAAATTGCAAAGTTCAGCAAATTTCTGTGCATTTTCAGGTCAATCAAGTACCAACATTTCCAAGAAGGAGCATAAAATACGAACTCAAAATTGTCATTTCGATAAAAAAATACTTCACATATCTGCTGAAAATTTAAGAAAATCCTTAAGAAGTCTTCTTCGATTTCAAAATGTCTGCGGAAAATAATATCTTCACAAAATTTCAAATGTCTTCAAAATTAAGACATCTCTTCAAATCAGGCATCCCTGCTCTATGCCCAGAGAAGTTGAGTTTTCCCCTTTAAAAGTTCCTAGACTGGACCGGGCATCGAACCCAGCTGGTCTTGCTATTTACCTGCGCGTTTACCGACTGAGGTAAGGCAGGTAAGGCCAGAACTTCTAGATTTCCAGCACCCATTTGAAGCAGAGCTGTCAAGTCGACAGAGTCGAATGCGTTTTTCAAACATGTGGAGTCTAAATCAGTAGTATTTCTATCGTTGTACCGACAACAATATTTCAACTCTGACTCCGAGCACGGTTACAACCCAAATTTCCTCCAGCTCGTAGCCCTGCTTGGAGCTCTAAAGATTTTCACGGAATTAGAAATTCTTAAAAAAAAAAATAAACCTTCCATGACTTGACGAACTTATGAAAATCCTAAATTTAAAGATCTACAAGAAATACATGAATTTATTTAATTCCAGTAGCGTTCGGAGCTGCCAGGATATTCAGATGAAATTACTCTAAACACATGAAATTCTTGAAACTGTTGAAATTCCTGAAGTCCCTGAGAGCTTTAAGCAGGACTTCAGGAACCTCTCAATCTAACAAAAATTTAACTCTTGGGAATATCACACACATTCAAGTTCTCCACCCACATTAGCTCCGGATCTGACGCGTTGCGACAAAGTGACAGCTAAATCTGTCCTTTAACTGTCAAATTCACTTCAACGCTACGCAAAGGGATCTTATGTAGGTGGCCCTTCAGAACTTCTTCAATCTCTGAGACTTCAGCTAATCATTGGAGCTCTGGTTTATTTTTCCTTTGGTTTGTTTTTTTCCGTCGATCTTGTTTTCCGTGCTGAGCACCAATGCTACCGACGTGCCAGGAAGGCAGCTCCCACACCTAGACACTACCTATCGACCCATCAACTCATGAACCGGGGACCAACGGCTTTACTTCCCATCCGAAGGAAGGCGTGATTAGAGATGTTATGCCTCAGAACATCCCGGCGGCGCCGACTGGGATTGAACCCAGGTCTGCTGGGGTGAGAGGTAATCACGCTTACCACTACACCACCGGCGCCGTTAGGAGCTCTGGTTCACTGAGAACTTTCAAACGTTCTTAAGAACTCCCGTAATATTAAAAACCGTAAGAACTCTTAAGACCACCAAGGTCTCCTGAAAATCCAGTAGCTCTTTAACATTTTTGGAACTTCAATAAACTCCGACTTTTTGGAACTTTGAAAATTTTCTAAACATTCACAAACACAAGATCTGTAGGATTCCAAGCAGTAGGAAAGCAACGCCTTTCAATGCTCAAGAAATTTTACGAACTCCAGCAATCGATAGAGCTCCTGAAAACCAAAAATAAAAACTTTCAAAACATCCAGTGACTGTTAGAAGTTCAATCTTAACATCCCTAGAACTGTTATGAACTTTAAGAAATTTTAGTACTCTACGAATACAAGAACAGAAGCTTCTGGAACTTCAGAAACTCTCATGGCAAGAAGTCTCAGAACATCAGGAGCCTCCGCAACTTCAGCAACCCTAAGAACTTATGATAACTCTGGTACACTGAGAACTTCAAAAACTTTCTATAGAACTTCCGGAATATTCCGAATCACAAGAACTTTTTGAACTCCAGGAACTTCAAGAGCTCGAGCAATCCGTTAATTATTCAAGAATCTCCAAAACTCTTTGAATTAAAAAAAATCCAGCAACTCTTAGAAATCAAAGAATTTCTGGACCTTCAGAGACCGTTTGAGCTTTAGGAACTCCAGCAATCCATTGAACTACTGAGATATTAGTGAACTTTCAAAACAGCGATCATTTATACTCTTGGAAGTTTCAAGAAATTGTAGCTGTTCGGACCCTTCAAGAACGCACCTTGGACACCCGTTTTGCTGCAAACTTCTGTTTCGGACTTCGGTATAAAGTCTCGCTTATGGCCGTGGAATTGTCGAGAAACGTTATTGAAAGAAAACACTCGCGAAACTGTATTGTTATAATTTTACGGCAACGGTGACCGATCGACTTGGCGTTTTTATTGGTACTGACTTAGGCAAAAAACCTATCAACTAAAAATACAATATGTGTGTAGATCTAATTGAGAAGCGTTACAATTCAGTATCAATAGCTTTCCCGTGTAGACATCCAAGAGAGACAACCGAAAGCAAGAGAAGTTATGCTACTCGAGGGGCGCTCGGAAGGAACGCATCTGAAGGTTTTTTGTAATGTACCTAAATTCTGTTAAGGGATTTATGAATCCAAAAATCTTAACTAAGCTGCTTAAGATTAAAGATGCTGGAAGTTTCACGATATGATACTGTATTCTTCTCAGGAACTACGTTGCACTTTCCGGGCTTGCAGCGTTTACATCCTTCGGGGTTGCACCTGACGGTTGAGAATAGCAGGTGTTGGTGGGCTGCCCAGTCAAGGCCTTCTCGAATGGCAGCAAACAGATACGTGACGCCTGTCGTTTGTAGATGGCACCGTTCGGTGTGCGTACCTTCACTACCCTGATTACACCGTCGGGACCGGGATAGAATTCAATGATTCGGGCTAGAGGCCACTCGATGGCTGCGGATCCATCCTCCTTCAGGACCACCATTTGACCCACCTTCAGCAGGGTTGCTTGAGGGAATCGTTGATTCTGGTTGTGCAACTGTGAGATGTACTCTCGCCTCCATCGCTTCCAATGCTGCTGTACTAGTTGTTGTAGTTCCTGGTAGTGCTGTAACCGGTTCGTAGGAACCTCCGTGTAGTCTGGATCGGGAATCGCCAGCAACGATGAGCTGGTTAAAAAATGTCCGGGAGTGAGCACGTCTAGCTCATCAGGATCTTCCGACAGTGGCGTAAGCGGACGAGAATTCATGGCCGCTTCTATCTGGGTGAGGATGGTGGTCATATCTTCGAACGACAATTTTCGTTGGCCCAAGACTCGGAGCAATGACGTCTTGGCAGATTTCACGGCGGCTTCCCAAAGGCCACCAAAGTTTGGTGCTCTTGGTGGGATAAATTTCCAAACGATGCCACGCTTAGAAGTTTCATTAGCGATTTCTGAGGTTGCAACTGGATCGGATAGAAGGTCGTAAAGCTCTCGTAGATGGTTGCTAGCCCCTTGGAAGTTCAGACCATTGTCCGAGTGGATCTCAGTAGGTAACCCTCGACGGGATACAAATCGTCGCAGCGCAGCCATGAAAGCAGCCGTGGTGAGGTCCCCTACCAGCTCGAGATGGACCGCTTTCGTGCTAAAACACACGAAAACTGCGATGTTGGCTTTCAGCGCAGCTGCTCGACGATGTGCGGGCTTTAGGTAGACTGGACCACAATAATCCACACCAGTGACCGCAAATGCACGAGTGGGAGTTGTACGAGGTTTTGGGAGTTGACCAGGTGGTTGGGATATAGGGACAGGGTTGCTTCGAAAGCAGCGAATGCAGTTTCGGAAAGTATAAGTTGCCAGTTCCTTACCCCGTAGGGGCCAAAATTCTTGCCGTATTTGAACGAGCGTCATTCGGGGGCCAGAATGGAGCGATAGGTTATGGTATGCGACAGCTACCTGCCGCAAGAAATAGTGGTTACTAGGAATAATCATGGGGTGTCGGACGGCGTATGATTCATCGGCGAGATTTAGCCGGCCACCAACGCGAATTATGCCTTGTTGATCTAGGAACGGATGGAGCAGCTTCAAGGGTGAGTGAGCAGGTTTGGTAATGGCTTGGACCACCCAGCAAGCGGAACAACGAGACCACTAAGAACTTCAGGAGCATCAGCAACTTCAAGCAACCCTAAGAGCTCATGACAACTGCGGTACTCTGAGAACTTCAAATACTTTCTTCAAGACACCAGGAAAATTATGAATCACGAGAACTTACGGAACTCCAAACGCAAACCTTTAATAATTCAGGAAACTTCGAAACTCCGAGATCTATAAACATCTATAGCAATTCCAAGAAATCAAAAAAAAAAAAAAACTTCTGCTACTTCAGAGAGCGTTTTAACTCTTTGGAACTCCAAGAAATGCCGTAATTCTGAAAATGTTCATAACATCCACAAGTACCAGAATTCCTATACTTTAAAATCTACAAGAATTTTCAAAATACTAGGCACGTCATGAGGACTACGAGAACTTTCTAAACCGTCAGTGGGTTCTTATTCATCGAAATTGTCAATATTTGAGAAATTATGGGACTTTAAGATAACAAGTACTTCAGAAGCATCAAGAATGTCAGCAATCCTTAGAGGTCTAGGAACTCTGTTAAATACGTAAAACTAAAGAACTATCGGAACACCACGAATCGCACGAATTTTCAGAACACTAGGAACTTAGAATTTATGGTACTCTGTGAACTTCTAAATCGCCCTACAATTCTCAGATCATCAAGAATGTCTAAATCTTCAAGCGCTGTAGAACTTAATGAAAATTAAGAAATTTCTCACAGTTAAATACTGAGGCCTTGTACCACAAAGCATTCTTGAGATTCAGTAACGTGTTCCACATGTCAATTCTATGGACTTTCCAAGTAACCAGCAGGCACAATAAAGTTTGAACCTTAAATTTCAAAAAGGAAGATGAGTGGGCTATTAGCATAGAGGTAACTCTAAGACTAGTAGGTCCCGAAGAAACGTGTTCAACTTTTTGGCTCAGCTCTGGTACTATCTTTGGTCCCAAGTTAATCGATGCACCCCTCGAAACATGGGAAAATCCACGAACCCCTCATTTTATCTGTCATACTTTCATAGCGAATCAAAACAAACATAGTGTAGTACTAGAATTCCGACTAGAATGGGATACGTTAATCGTTTGCTTGGGACCAATAGGCTAGTCAAGAAGTGAGCCAATTTCAAATCGATAGTTTCGTATTGATTGTTGCTATTAGTGGGTTTGGTGGGATTACGTGGGTTTGAGCAACTCTTGTGGGTTTATCCAACAACAACTGAAACATCTATAAATTGCCTATGTAGCTTATGTACAGCCCCTAACTTCTTTGCACTTGTCCTTCAAGTATGTTGTATTAGATTTGGCACTCAAAAATCTCACAAAATGCGAAATCTACAAAATGAATTCAGTAGACACACCACATCACAATTCCTTTGGTAGCCTTTCAACTTCCTTTAACTTACCTTTGTACAGAGGTCAACCAACCCATTCATCCACGTTGCTCAGACATCGAACCCCGCTAAATCATCTATATCGAACCACCCTCAAACCACCTCCACCATTGCAGATAACGATCGACGAAGTGACGAGCAGTGCAACGTTTGCCAACGGAAGCAGCCAGGTGATCGAACTGGAAGAGGAATTTTTCATCGGTGGATTCGATCATCGGAAGAAGCGTAAGGCCTTCCTGAAGGGAGCCCGTGCTACGGAATCCAGCCTGAAGGGTTGCATTCGGGACATCGTTCTGGACGACCACACGGTTGGGTTTCCCAACTTCAAAGTCACCCAAGGAGTGACCGTCGACTGCGTCTGGCGGTATCCCTGCATCGAGAAGCAGCCTTGCATTCCTTCGGGCCAATGCCACCATCAGGGTATCAATGACTTCATTTGCTATTGTGATCAAGCTTTTTGCATCAAAGCGGACTACTCGGACAGCTACAAGCTCTTCTCGCGGTCAGATCTGGTAATCGAGAAGGAGTTGATGCTGATTAGTCCTCTGGAGGTGCTGGAGGGAGGGATTGCCTTTCTTGCTCCGAAGCACATTGAAGTGCTTTTCGATTATAGCAAGTTGGGCGTTCAGGAAGCTGGAGTAATTTTTCACGTGGTCCAGCCACCGAAGCATGGCAAGATCACTATCCATTCGTACGGCGCGGAAGGCAATTCTTCGGCCACGCAGATGAAGTTCTTCTCGCACATAGATCTCACCACGGATAAGGTCAAGTATACCCACAATGGAGCGGAGAACTCCAACGATCACATGACGATCGATATGCATTTGGTGCCATCTTCTCGGAACACCCTTCCAAAATATCTCGAGGGAAAGCACCGCTTTGTGCTCCACGTGAATGTAACTCCGGTGAACGATCCTCCCGTGCTAAAATTGCCACAAACCAAACTTCTTCGCGTAACACAAGGCATACCGAGGGTGATTGGTCCGGACTTTCTACAAGCGGAAGACTCAGACAGTGCACCCGATGCGTTGATCTACACGGTACTGATCAGCCCCAATTCGGCGGAAGCTCAACAGGGTCGTATCGAGTTGGGAGGAAGAGCCGTCGCAACCTTCTCCCAGTCGGATGTCAACGCTGAATTGGTGACCTACCTGATCAACAGCAAAGGGACGGATGACTATTTGGAGTTGAACGTTCAAGTCTCCGATGGAATGGAAACAAGTCCAGCCAGCTCGATACGGGTTTCCGTGCTTCCACTACAGCTCCGTATGATGAACAATACGGGCTTGGTGTTGATCCATAAGTCATCGGCGTTGATCACACCGTACAATCTGTCGTTTGTGCCGAACTCTGACGAGGAGAATGTGGATATGAGGTGAGCATCTTCGTATATTTTATAACACTACTCTCTGAAATGCTTGTCTTTCACAGATTCGATGTAGTTCAGTCACCTGCCTATGGCAGTCTTCAAAAGCTGCGATCCGTAGATTCTTCATGGATTTCGGTCGACTCCTTCAGCAGTAATCAGCTTCTGCTAGGGCAGATAAGGTACCTGCACTCATCAGAGCTACCACTTCATGACGAATTCAAGGTAAGCTTTCCCATCCCAGCATTGGATCGCACTAATTTTCCCCTTCATTTTCAGTTCACGGTTACCCTCGGACCCGTGACCACCCCAACGTACGACTTCCGCATTTCTTTCACCAAGCTGCGCATCGGAACTATCCGACAGAACAACATTTACACCAACACTAAAGATAACGTCATCCGCGCAGACTACCTGTTCCATCAAACCACTCCGATTGCAACCTTCGCTCGGAACATCATCTACACCGTTGTGAAGCCGCCCAAATTCGGAATTATCTACGTCGATGGCCACCCGGAATACGCCAAACCCGGTGATTCCTTTACCCAACAGGAAGTCGACAAGAATCTGATCAAGTACCGCACTTACCAATCGTCATACGGAAACTTCATCGACACGTTCGAGTTCATCGTCTCCGTCCCGGAGTGCGAGGACGTTCAGGGTAAAATCGACTTCATCTATTCACCACCGGACTACCTGGCTAAGCAGATCATCTACCAGAAGCGGGAGAAAGTCTACGTTCACGAAGGCAACAAGACCGCCCTGTCGAGGACCAACTTTGAAGTGCTGTTCAACAAGTTCAACTCGTTGACGTTCAATCTGACGCACTTTCCCAAGCACGGATCGCTCTGCAAGGTGAATCCTCGGACGTTCGAGGCGAAGGACATATCTTCGTTCACGTTGCAGTACCTGTACCTGGGGGATATTCACTACTGCCACGATGACTCGGAATCGACGGAGGATAACTTCCGGTTGTTGATTCTGTCGGATAACGAGACGGACTTCCAATTTGTCTGTGAGATTCAGGTGGAGATTACACTGTTAAATGACAACGGGCCGTATCGGGTGTTTGACAAAGTGTTTCATATTGTGAGAGACGAGACGAAGCTGCTGACGTCGGGAGATTTGAAGTACGCTGATCCGGATATTGAGACGAGAAATTTGGATATCGAGTACAGGTCGGTGACCTGTACGAATGGGGAGCTGCTGAGGAATGGAAAGTACGTGGACTTTTTTACGCAGGAAGATCTGGACAGTAGAAGGTTGTTGTTCCAGCACAATGGAACGGACCAAGGCAGGCTATCGTTCATTGTGACGGACGGGTTATACGAAGTTCCGGGATCACTGGAGATCGAGGCTTCCGATCCGTTTCTTAAGATACGCGAAAGCAATGCATCGATCGTACAGGAAGGTCGAGCGGTGCTGTTGACGCTGAACGATCTGAACGTAGACACGAACTTGAATGCTAAACCGGAGGAGATCGAGTACCGGGTGTTGAATGAACCTAGCAATGGGGTATTGAAGTTGTTCCGAAGCAGATTTAATGCTACGCAGTTACACAAACTAAGCAATGCAACTACCACGATGAACTTCACCCAAGCGGATATAGTAGGGGAGCGGTTGGTCTATTGGAATAGGGATGTGGCTTCCATGGACAAGGTTAAGTACCGGGTCACGACAAAGGGCGTATGGGCGGAAGGGGAGATCATGGTTCGGATCTACCCACCGGCTTACTGGGAGCCGCTGAGGATTCGACGCAATCAAACGTTGTTTGTTGAAGAGTCTACGAGTGTGATCATATCCAGGGATATCTTGGAGGTAAGGCGATGGAGCTCATCCGTGATGCATTCATAATTCAAAAAATTCTTGTTACAGATCGTTCACCCTAACATCTCACCAGGGGACATAACGTACCTAGTAACAACTCAACCCCAACACGGCTATTTGGAAATCCAATCGATCACCTCCGATGACGAGTATAATTCTAAGGTGTTCGATCAGTCCACGATCAACTCGGAGAAGATGTTTTACATCCAGGCCGGGGTGAACCAATCGTCCGATTACTTCACGTTCGATGTGACCAATGGGATTACATGGTTGCGAGACTTGATCATGCGCATCGTCATCATTCCGGAACATCTATACATTCGGACGAACGTCATCGTTGTGGAAGAAGGTTTGACTCTTGATCTCATTGGCTCGGATAAAAAACCAAGTGATGATTGTTTGAACTTTATTTCAGGAAAAAGCGTCAAGATACATCCAACCGACATGGTACCTTATTCCGAGTACTACACCGGAAAAATTCTAGAGTACAAGATCCTCGAGCATCCTCAACATGGAAGCATCAAATCCGGGAAGTCTTCCAAGGTGAACCGATTCACACAGAAACAGTTGGAGGCCGAGGTGATCACCTACGTTCACAATGGAAGTGAGAATTCTACGGACACCATCCGATTGGTAGCTCTAGGACGGAACAAGGAAAGCGTTCCCTTCAATCTACAGATTCAGATTCTGCCGATCAACGACGAAGTTCCACAGGTGGTGACCAATACTGGGATGCACATGTGGATCGGTGGAAAGAGTATGATCCAGAGTTCGGATCTTAGTAAGTGTGTTAAACTTCTCTTCTGGTGATCGTCTTATTGATCGTGACTTTTTTTTTCAGTGGTTCAAGACTATGATACTTCCCCGGAGAATCTCACTTTCCACATCCAGCAGATGATTGGAGGCTACGTGGCTTTGAAGGACGCCTACAGCAAAAAGCTTCATACCTTCACCCAGCAGGATATCAACCACAATTTGGTGTACTTCATCCATGACAGTAGCAATCAGAATGGAAAGATCGCTTTCTATGTAAGTGATGGACTTCACAATACTACGGAGCAAGTGCTGCACATCGTTACCAATCCCGTTGCATTGGAGCTTGTGAAAAATGAAATTCTACATGTATTTCCTCTGACTAGAAAGCAGATCCTTCCGGAGCAACTGTTCTACAAGTGTTCCGATGATGATCGAGACGTGAAATACGTCGTGACCATTCCTCCTCAGACGGGAAAACTGATCTTCGAACACGTAGAGTATGGTTACATGAATGAAATCACTGAATTTACGCAGCATGATGTGGAGAACGGTAGAATCTTCTACGAGCATACCCATCACATGGTGGAGCTGAAAACGAACGATTCATTCTACTTCGACGTGACAGCCCCATTGTCGAACAGTCTTGTGGATCAGATCTTCAACATTGACGTGTCTGTTTCGTCTGGGGGTTTGTTGAGGTTCCTTCCGGTTCCTCGAATCAACCTGGATGAAGGTGATTCCGGTACAATCAAATTGGATTTATCCAAAGTGCTGGAGTACCTGGAAACTCGAGCTGGCATTCAGAACCCAGAGCTGTTCATTGATGTTCACCCTCCGGCTCACGGAACTGTTGAGCTGGAAGATTCGAATACGAGTGCCAATCGATTTTCGTTGAACGATTTCTACGAGAATAAGGTATTCTACAAGCATGATCACTCGGACACGCTGGAAGACAAGATCGCGCTGGCCGTTTACTTGGTACCGGGGAATTTGTTTCTGTGCAACATCACCATTCCGGTGACGATCAATCCCGTCAACGATCAACCCTTCCAGCTGGTGACGGCCTCTCCCCATATCTCGGTGATCGAAGGCGAGAATCAGACGATCACTTCATCCCACCTACTCACGGAGGACGCGGATACGGATCCCAAGGATATCATCTACGACGTTATCAGTGGACCTAACTTGGGAGTTTTGCTTAAGATTTCCGATGAGGGTTACCCTCAGGACATTATAACCTACGGAAATCAGTTCACTCAGGCAGATATCAACGAAAATCGGATCATCTACACGCACTCGGGTAATCCACAGTCAACGACGTTCTACTTCAAGGTGTCCGACGGAAAGTTCAAGCCAGCTTACGAAATTTTTAACATCAAGGTTCTCCCGATTACGATCCTACCCGGATTCAACAGTCAATCGATCATGGTTCAACAAGGTACCAATCTTGGCGTGTTGGAACCAAAGCATGTATCGGTTGAGACAAATGTCCAGAAGAGTCGAATTGTTTACAATGTGACCAAGAATCCGATGGGAGGGATCATCATCTCCAACAACAAGCCTGTTTTGAAATTTACGCAGCGTCAACTGGACGACGGGAAGATCAATTACATGCAGACGGACATGACACGATCCAATGACAGTTTTCAATTGGACGCATTCATCCCGGACACAACTTCCGCTTGCATTATCGAAGTCAACGTGATCGTGCAACCGTTCATCATAATCAATCCGATCACGATCACCCCTGGGGAACGAATAAGGTTGAGTTCAACGTTTATCTTTGATAACCCTGCCCAGTTGAAACTCAATCGGTATAATCCGAAGATCACGATTACTCGCAGGCCGAAGTATGGCCGCTTGCGGAAGATCGTCCGCAGCTCGGGACTTGACTACATTGAGCAACCTAGCGATAAAGACATTATCACATTCACCTACAAGGAACTGAAAAGTGGTGTGATCTACTACGTGGCTCGAAAGTTCAATCAGGACTTCCAATCCATCAATGATAACTTCGAGTACGTACTGTCAACCAAGACTGCCCAGCCCGGTCAGGGCACCGTTCCAATTGAAATCTACTCTCCGTCGCGGGGCTCTCACGGTAGCAACGACGTAGATATTGTAACGGCTGACAGTGGACTTCCACTAGAGTACTTGATCGCTGCCTGCGCTGCTGCCGCGATCATCGTCATTCTCCTCATGACAATCATCCTACTCAAGTGCCGATCGAACAGTTCCCACAAAGACCACCCGGATAAGGATCATCCTCCATCCCTTCCACGACCTCCGGACTTTATGACCCTAAACAACCGGATGTACACTCCGTCCGAGAACGAGTCTCTTCCGGTGACGACGGCCTCAACTCCCCTCCCCATCATCAGCAGTATTCCACACTGCAAAGTCATCCCCATCGGTTTGGATAACTCACTGCAGTTGGACTCCGAAACCGAAGAGGACATGATGGACATGCATGGGGATCTGCTTCAAAACCCCAACAACTTGAACTACCCGTACGGGGATGAGGGTGACGAATGGAGTTCCAGCTGTGAGGTAGGCCCGGATGTAAACTACTCAACCATCGCCCAATCGCACCATCAGCAGCAAGCTCAACAGCAGCAACAACTTTTGCCACATCAGCTGTCAACGCTTCAACAACCGAAAGCAAACCCTTTGCTCCGAAGGAATCAGTATTGGGTGTGAGGGTCCAGGGAATTTCCCATTACTCCTAGTTACTTAAAGGAATACGAGCTTTTGTACAGGTTCCGTGTGATGTAGTACTTGATTTTAATCTGTCTTAAACCTACTTAGTCTATCGTTTCATAAATTTACTTAAATCCAATGCTCTTACTTTGATCATTTTTTTTACTGATTAAGATTCACTTGTTGCTTAGATAATCAATATTTACAGGCTTGATAAAACTACGGATCGATTCGAATTGCCATGCAATTTTACGTGTATTGCCAATAATAGACTAAAGAAGGTAATCAAATACCACAAAGTTAGTGCCATGTGTGCGAATGATGTAGACGAATAAATGGGTGAGAAGGTTTGTCCTAAATAATATCTAATTCGAGTTGAGTTTGTTTTAATACTTCTTTCCATCTGGACAATAAATACGTTTGTAAGGAACGATCTCGTCTCTCTGTGTATTAAGTAAGTGGTCCGAAATGTTTCAATTTGGGAACGGAAGCTGCCGCCGCTGGTTCATCTTAGCTTCCACGTACTCGTAGGTATTTTCCGTGGGAGTGATGGCCAGTCCCCCGTTGTCGTAGGCATGGTTCATCCGCCAGTCTTCGGCCGGGTAGCGTGCACTAATGGGCGTGGTGACAGTTTGAACCGAAGAAGCTCCATCGGAACCCATGTAGGTGCTGGGAGGGCCAATTGTGGACACCTGCGGCAACGGTGGGAGGCCTGTGCTGTTGCTTCCGGCTCGGGTGCTTAGTTTTGGACTCTTGGTATGCGGGTTTTCGTGGGTGTATTCCATCGTGGGTGGGTTGGATTTTTCACGTGCTATGAGACGCTTCAGAAAGGACCACGAGAAATGGCTGCTTTTGCGGCACCACCGAACGATGATTACCACCACCGTCAGGGCTAGCAGAAGGAGAATGATGGCGAATATAATGATCGTGGTGTAGAGGTTGTTCTCCAGGGTTGCGATCCTCTGCAGGATGAGGTAATCTGAAATGGGAATTGGAGTACATAGTGATTCATTAGAATGTCTGATATGTAACTGGGGGAAGTTTGCAATTGCTTGTAGAAAGTTTTAACAGTACATTATGCTCAGATTGTGAAATGCGATAACTTAAAAAAAAAGTGCTCAAGTTACATTGTAAGTTTTATCAAGGTTTTAACGCAGTCTTCAACTCTAAATCATTGTCTACAAAGCCCCCATAAAACCCACGAGTCTCGATGACGGTAGCTAGCTTGATGGTGGGAAACGGTGAGGCTGATGAAGACTCGGTGAGAGCGTCTGGCGACGCCGGTCGGTGAGCACAATGACGGACTTTGGCGAACTTGGCTCCACCGAGTGTTTTTGGTTCCAGGCCTGGATATGGCGGACTTGGATTTTACGGGTGTGTGGAGAACTGCTCGGTACAATTTGGGGTGGAACTCGAATCCTAATCTTCAAGCTTCCAACCCTTTGGTCGGGAAACTACGACCGGTATAGCGCAACCACGCGGGATAATTAAACAATCACTCCAAAACGAAGAGACGGTCTTAGGCCAGATTGTGACATGTGGCCACTTCAATCCCTATTCCATACCTGATTCTCTCTCCCTGATACTACAACACTCTTACTTTACTTCACTTTACTTTTAACGGTTTCAGCTTATATTACTGCTCTCGTTTAAGTTTACTTGGCCAGTGGCGGATGAGGTTTCTGTGCTACTCGCCGTTCCCTTTCCCTGTACTTATCGTACTTATTCTCCTGTTTTCCACTGAACTCAACTTGTTGGCTCATCACCTATTCCAGCAGTTGGTAGTGTACTGTGGTATTGTATAGTGTTAAACTAGGAGTATCTTTATAGCAATTATAAATTGAATTTAAACGGAGACATGCAAAATTCGATAAACTAACATAAATACAACAACAGATGTTACAAACGGTAACAAGGTAACAATTTGATGCTTAACAAGTGTTGTACAATCGATTTTAATTCAGCCTTAGTTTGAATAATTGTTGTACATAGACCACGTTAATGTTTGTACACCTTTTAAACATCTAAATCTGGTGATTTAAATCAGCCAAAAGCTTAACAGTTATATAAATTATAAGCTTTTTAAAGCATTTTATAACAGTCTTCTCCACCTCTTGTTCAGCATTCGAGTTTCATTTAGAAAATAATAATAATAGAAGACCGCTTAATATCTTTTATATTTAAATGGGACTACAAGGTGCTGAATAATTGGATTTACATATTTATTTGTTATTATAAGTCTAAAAATTATCTCTGCATTTCGGAATTCGAACCGACAGTCACTAATTCACAGGCATCAACCATAACTACTGGACCACTTAAGCATATGTGTGGCAAAAGGTATGATCATCAACTTGAAACACGTCAAATTTAAGTTGAATTACAGCTACCGGAAGAGTATCAAACAGCAATGCAGAATTGTAAACAACAACTGGTGATAGTAAAACATTTCTATCACTATCAAGCGTAGTTAACACAATGTGGACACAAGTGCACGATTGATTTCGATGGTCATGTGGAAGCTATTTTAGTGCCATAATTGAGTTATATTTTTGGAATTCTATCTGAAATTTCAGCTCATAATAGCAGTCAAAACACAAAAATACAAATGTTAATACTTCTGACGTCATCGCAGCTCACTTATACCTGAAGCTATTCCTAAAACGCTCCTCTACCTTGTCTCTACTGCTGCCGTTGCTTAGGATTAGAAAGGTAGGCAGTAAATTTAGAAGAACTAAAACGTCGGAAATGCAACGAGTGACACTAATTACATTTAACAAATCAGGCTATCAGAATATTTGTAGTGCATTGCTGATTTGTGGAGCAGTGTTACGCTAAAATAAGGCTTGTTCAATCTTTAGATCAGCTAATTTATTGAGGTTGAATTATGGGGACACAATTATCTGCATGCACTGCTAATCAACTATATATTCAGTCTGCTGTTAATCAGCTTTGTACACCTTAAATCAACCACTAATCAGCATATGTTCTTACTGTTCAGCTTGAATTGTTACTTGGGAGTGTAGATCAAAGAACTTCAAGGCAGTTTTAGGGTTGCTTCCACTCACTTGATATAAAAATTGTAGATGTTATAATGTTACAAAAAGGAGTTGCACAGTATATATTTGACTCAGGTTTTAGTCAATTTATTTACCTGTAATGATTTGTGAGCGTTCATTCATTATAAAATCGCTGTTTATGACTCTCTGAAAGAGTGGTTCCATACTTATTCGCTAATCCATCGCTAAATTAAATCAAGCCTTATTTTTTTTGGACAGGGCCTATAATATCTGTCCCATGAGGACAAAATAATCGCATATCAGTCCCATCCTAAAATTCAATCGTTCATAGTTCAAGTTAAAGTTCTGCTTTTTAAATTGCCATATTTTTCGCTGATATGACAAAACATACAAGCTTCATTTCAACTGATTTTATCTTGAATATATTATCAACAAATTTAATATGATTTTTCAAATATTTACATGACTTCAACGGTCATTTTCTCAATGCCTACTTTTCCATATGGGGCTGATTTGCGATTATAGGCAGTGTAGAAGACATTAAGCTTATGTTCGGAAAACTGTTATTCGAAAATGGTTTGTCCGATCGGTTTGGTTCCTTGAGCAATGTTATAGGTAATGGTTGGAACTATTTAAAAAAATATGTACACCCTAAAAAAAATTGTGCCATATACAAACAAAACCTTAAATTTTTTTTCCTAAAAAACTGATAGGGTAGAGAACTACTTCGGCCTAAGCGCCCATTTTGGGCCTATCAAGCAGAAAACATCAAATAAATCCATGATTTCGGCGTCAACAGGTAAATTATGCGTTTGGTACGATACTTTAGTTCAAATGCTACCGAACGAAGTCAATAAGAACGCGTGATATGAAGGTTTGCACCCAATATTCTCAAATACAAATGTAGTGCTCCGACCGAAAAAAATCTTTATCTTCATCCGATAGGCCGAAGTGGTTTCATATGCGTTTCAATGCGTTAGGCCGAATTTAGAATCCGTAAACCGAGTTTGGCGTCAAGAAGCAGTGTTAGACTTTTAATATTATCTCAACAATTTGTTTCTCTTTATCAAATCTTACGGTACGTACGGAAAGGTAAATAAATTTAAAAGCCATCAGTAATCATAACATTCCGTTTGGTGCTAAACTACGCAAGATTAAGAAATAATAATTGCGGGTTGTATTTAATAGGCTGAAAATGGGTAGTTAGCATTATTCCAAATTTGATTTTTTTTATATGTTTTTGTGGATAAAAAATACCATCTTTTGCATTATAGGTCATAGTAAAAAAATGATACACAAAAAAGTTACGGTTTCTTGAAAATCTTACGTTTTTGCAAAAATATAAAAAATGACATATTTTTCTGTCGATTTGATATAATGACAAGTATTTTAAATTTACAGTAAAAAAGCTTCTGTATAAATTATTTATAAGTTGCACCGCTTTCGAGATTTATTTATTTATTTATTTACGATCACCGCCTTCGACTAAGTCGCACAGACTGAACTACTTAATACTATTTTCTAGACTTAATTCCTAATCCTATGTGAAAATACAGTTTTGGACATGTTAAAATCGAATTTGTCGTCAACTTCATTAAAAGCCCAGAGACACGAATCAAGTCGATTGTGATGTCCATAGTTCGTCCTGTGGTACGGAATTGCCAGTAGAGGTGAACTTCGGAAGCGACGTGGAGGAATGTTGATCGGTATCTGCTCAAGAAGTGCAGGACAGTCAATACCTCTTGTGATGACATCAAACACGAACATACGCTGCATTTTAATTCGCCTCGATGACAGACTTTTTAAGATAACACTAAGATAAAACTTTGAATTCTATTTTATTTTAAATGTTGACAATATTTGGCATTTTAAAAATGTGGTCCGCGACTACAAGAATATTTTTTTTCAAAGATCAATTTTTTTTAATGGTATGATCAAAATAATCCGACCCATGTGTATATTTCTAAACAATGGGATTTAATTTTATTCAAACTCTTTTTTCGATGGATAATACATACAAAAAAAAAATATTGGGATCTTTTGAAAATTATTTGATTTAGCTGTTATTTTACTTCAAACTGATACAAACAATTTTATTTCCACCATGACAGTTAAAAAAAATGTCAATCTACAATCTGATTTGTGGAAATAGGAATATATAAGTAGTATTTTGTGTCAACTTTTGCGTTTGGTTCGTTAAGTTCTTGATTTTAAATGTCATATTCTTCATTAGTTGCATCAGGCAAACATACTTTTGAATATAAAATCCAATAAATGATCCATAAAAAATTGGAAAACGTTCTATATTTTATGTAAAATTTAGCAATAAAAATGTAAAAATGTACCGCTAAACTTCTAAAGAATGAGAATTGAAATTGAAGCAATTACTCATAAACATATTGAAATTGAT